TACACCCCTCCTTTACCTTCCATCTCTACAGTTTGAATTAAAAATCAGTATCATGCTGGTGAGGATGTAAACTGATGCAGCTGCTGTAGAAGAAAGTGTGGGAGTTCCTGAAAAAACTAGACATAGAACTACCATGTGACCCAGCAATTCCACTTCTGGGTATATACCCCAAAGAATTGAAAACAGGGTCTTGAATAGATGTTTGCACACACATGTTCATGGCAGCATTATTCCCGGGAGCCAAAAGGCAAAAACAACCCAAATGTCCATTGACAGATGAATGGCAATTAAACAAGATGTGATATATTCATACAATGGAATATTATTTGGCCTTACACGCTGCAACATGGATGAACCTTGAAGGCATAATGCTAAGTGAATAAGCCAGTCACAAAAAGACAAATACTGTATGATTCCACTAACATGAGAAACCTAGAGCGGTCAAATTCATAGAGGCAGAAAGTGGAATGGTGGTTGCCAGGGGCAGGGGGAAGCAGGAGTAAAGAGTTATTGTTTCGGGACTTCCCTGGTGGTGAAGTGGTTAAGGATCTGCCTGCCAATGCAGGGGACACGGGTTCGATCCCTGGTCCAGGAGGATCCCACATACCGCTGAGCAACTAAGCCCGTGCGCCACAACTACTGAGCCTGCGCTCTAGAGCCCGCAAGCCACAACTACTGAAGCCCACATGCCTAGAGCCCGTGCTCCACAACGAGAAGCCACCGCAATGAGAAGCCCGCGCACCGCAACGAAGAGCAGCCCCTGCTCACTGCAACTAGAGAAAGCCCGTGCGCAGCCAAAAATAAATAAATAAATTTATTAAAAAAAAAAAAGTTATTGTTTCATTGACAATTTAGGAAGATGAAAAAGTTCTGGAGATGTATGCTGGTGACGATTGCACAACGTGAATATTCTTTCACCACTGAACTATATGGTTAAAATGGTCCATTTTATGCTATGTATGTTTTAGCCCAATCTTTTTAATTTTAATTTTAAAAAATCAGCATTGCACTCTTTCTCCTAACAAATGGAGGGGAAACCCCAGGCCTCTGGAGGTTCTCCTAACCAGGACACACCAGCGAACCAGGCAGCTGGGAGCTTAGACCAGATATTTTTGTTTCAACTGATCCCTGGGATTATTAGGAAGCTGCTAGATTTTTAATCTTTTCTTTTTCCAGACTGAAAAGGTCATCCGAGGGGTATCTAGTCTTAGGCAAATTCCTCTCTAGCAATTATTTTTAAATGTCAGTCCACAAGGAAGCCCCTCTTCGAAAAACAAGTTAGGAAGAGAAGACAGAGATGCAACACATACCCCACAATTGTTGACGGGCATCTTGTTGGCACGGCCTGCTGAGCGTGCATGGCTGCTCTTTAGAGGGGCGTGTTGGGCTGGGCCAGCATTAGGGCCGGTTGAGCCCAGGCTCTGCTTTGGACCAGGTATCTGGCACAGGGCTGCCCCCAAGGAAGGCGGGCTTTCTCTTACTCACACAGAGCCATCTATGTGCTGTCTGCAAGCCTCCTTCCTCAGAGACACACCCACCCCCTGGCCAGTGCCTCTGCGCAGGAGTAAGGGGCTGAATGGAATGGAGACCCTCAGGAGGACCTGCAAGGAAGGCTTCTTGGCTCTAAGCCATCTGCAGATGCTCCAGGGATTATGGATTATAGCAATCATTGGAACCCCAGGCGGTGGGAAGCTCCCTCCTCTGATGGCCCCACCCAGCCTGCTTGGCCATGTTGCAGCAAAAATAGAAATGAGACCTTTCTGATAAACAAGGAAAATAAGGAAACAATGAACAGCCTGGGGAAACAACATAAACAGGTCTGAAAGAGTTAAGCAATCTTGGTTACTGTTTAGCTGTTACTACTAACAAACACTTGTAGCTAGACTTGTCCTTCACAAAGTTGATTACTCTTTGACTCCATACAAATTACCCATTGCACCTGGCCTTTCTTCTCCCCCTACACTCCCTTGTAGCACTCTTCATCTCAGAAAGGAGTTCACGGGCTGATAACTTCAGGGACACCAGACCCGGGTGCTGAGCTGCCTGATGCCAGCTTTGGCCATGAATTTGCAGAAGAAAAGAAATGTAAGACCTTCACTACTTTTGATCCTTATCATATACCCCTGCGAGCCGAGCCCCACATGTAAAATCTCCGATTCCCCAAGGAGGCGGGCACAGTTCTTGAGGCGTTAGCCTCCTGTGTCTTCCCTTTGCCTGGCAAGGAGAATCAAAAGCCTCTCTATTTCTTATCTTCCAGTTCTCTGTCTCCGTATTTTTATTCGGCATCGGTACACAGGGAGCCAGACTGGCAACAGCCAGGACTCCACGGGTTGCAAAGATTCTTATTTATGAGTTCATGTGTGTGTACCTCACCATGTGCTCCCCTGGTCCTATTTCATCCAAGTGACATCTAGACATCCAGGAAAGCCCTGCAGGGAAGAAAATGTGCCCAGAAGACCAGCTGCTCTGGGGGGAGGGCTTGGGAAGGAGGAGTAGCCCCCCCCCCCTTGGCTTTGGTGACCGAGATCTTGACAGCTGATGTGTAAGAGCCTCAGGTCTTACCGCACCTGCTGGAGGTGACACCTCCTTCCCCAGCGGCTTTCCCTAAAGTCAGGGTCTTTCCCAGCCTCAGAGGCTCACTCAGGCAGGGGCAAGGGACTGTCCTCATCCTCCACACTCTGGGCGACACCAGAAGTTGCAGGGATCAGGATACAGGAAGTCCAATTTGCTCCTCAAACGTGGCTTGAAGAAGGAGCACCCTGACTGAGGCTGCAGCCTGTTGGATGATTCTACTCAGAGCTGGGTTTTCTGGAAACGTGGCAGGATTTCACCTGCCGGTCCTGAGAGCCAGCTCCTGGCTTTCCTGGCTTTCTCCCAGAGGAGGAGGGCGTTTTAATGAGGCTTTCACTTTTGCATGTGACATCACAGAGGAAACCCAAGTTCTGCCCCCAGTTGTTCTGTGGCCATCACTTAACCCCCTGGACCCCAGGCTCTTCTTCTGTGAACTGAAAGTCCTAACCAGGTGATGGCTCAGGCTCCTGCCGCAACATCAGCCTCCGTCAGAAGGTTACAATGTGTTATTCAGAAGATCACCCACACCCAGACACACACAGCTGCCCTACAACACTGTGCGCCGAGGCAGGGTCACGTTGTGACTTTTGAGGGTGCTGGGTACTTTTGCCTTCGTGGGCCCTTCCACCAGAAAAAACATGTAAAAAGCATACAACTGTGGTGGTATAAAGATGAATATATTAATATTATATATTAACATTTTCTTCTACCTAAAATTTTATTTTTTTCTTCTTACTTTAAAATAACATCTTATCAGGGGCCCCTAGGAGTATTCCTTGTGAGCCCTAAACACGCCTGCTCTGCCTAGTGGCCCAGCACTGGGGGACATGCGGATTGAGGGGGTAAGAAAGAGACCCAGCTAGGAGAGTGGGCCTGCCTCAGTAGCTGTGTGACCTGGACCAGTCACCTCACCTCTCCGTGCCTCAGTTTCCCCACCTGGGCATAATAATAGTACCTACTTCACGGAGTTGTGAGGCATGAGGTCAGATCGTGTCTGTAAGTACCCTGAGTAGAATGGTGCCTGAAACAGAAGTCACTAGAAGTTGTTCGTTGTCATTAATGCTGTTGTTTGTCAACCTTGTTCCAGTCGCCCTCTGCATCTTACCCGACCCTCTAGAAGAAAGGCAAGGGGAGCAAGGATGTCTCGCTTGGACTTCCTGGAGCGCATACAGCTAATTTTAGAGCTGCTTATTCACGGAAATGTTATTGAATTTTAGAAAAAACTCTTTGGTGGCATTACCCAAAACAAGCCCTCGAGGGCACCAGAACCCCTAGCTGTGCAGCATTCCATCGGGGCAGGAGGAAGAGGCAGGGGCTTGTCATCTGTCACCTGCTCTCTTCTCCTGCTCGGCAGGTGTCAGGCCTCAGGGAACTGAGTGGGAGGCTTTGAGTCCTTGTAAAATGCAACGGCCTCTGGGATAAATTAATGTCCTAATCCCCTAACAGTCACACGAGGGAGGCGTGACAGCTGGGTTTTTCTAAGGGGCTGTGAGCCTGTATGTGCCAGGGCTTTACATACATTATCTCGTTTAATCCTGACAGCAACCCCAGATGGACGGATTACTATCCCCATTTCACAAACCAGCAAGCAGAAGCTCAGAGAGGGTCGGTGACTTGCCCACAAGTCACCTCTACTTCTTCCTGCTGCCCCAGGAGAACGTTTGCACCTTAGAGGAGCTCAAGAGCGAGATAAAGGGGAAATGGAAACCCGCCTGCCTGGGTCTCTCTGGCCGGAGGCCCATCAGCGGCCATGCTCTGGGCCTCAGTTTCCCCACCTGCACAGGGGGGACGTGGGCCCCGTGTCTCATGCATTCTGCAGTTCTCATCCCTCTCCCTGCCTGGTGGGTGCAGATGGCTGGCTCCTTTCCCAGCCCCTTCCCCTCTGTGGCATTCCTCCTGTTCCGGCCACCACTCCTCCCCACCCCGCCGAAGCAGGGAAGCTCCTTTGGGGCAATTCTGCAAGGGAGCTTTGCCAGGCGTTAAACTATCGCTGCATTGGCAAGCAGGGGGCCCCCCCTAGAACCCCAAATTCCCAGCCAGGCACGGGATAGCAGAGCCAGGGGGTCCTTTTCTGTGTGGACGCTCCAGCCCTGCCACCCACCCTCCCCCTGCCCCCTGCCCATGCAGCTCTTATGCTCTTATTTTTTTCATAAAGGAAAGTTGGCAGCAGCAGTGCTGGGCCTCCGTGAATGTAAACAGCTTAATCACCCTCAGGTCCTTTTCTCAACAGCCCTCTCCATTCACTTCCTTCCAGCTCTTTTCTCCTGGGGATAATTAGTGACTGGGAGCCAGCTGGGCTTCTCTGAGTGTGAGGGGGAAAATGAGGGACCCCGGGGGGAGGGCTGTGTCTGAGGGAACCCAGTGCAGGAGCAGCAGGAAGCAGCCCTGGGATCAGTCCCCAGAGGGCCGAGGGGAGGACGCAGTCTTACCTCCAAAGGCGGGCCTCATGGTGAAATCATGGTCATCCACTCTGAGAAGTGGCTGAGGTTTTCCCTTTCGGATTTTGGTCACATCAAGGTTCTTCTTATATAGGTGACTGCAAAGGCAAGCAAGAAACTCTTTTCCGTCAGCCCACCAAGACATCGTGTGAGAAGATTTGGGGAGATGACTTCCTGCAGGGTCTACGTGTTACTCACCTTTTCGCCCATCCTACCATCTCTTTCTCCACTGAAGGAAGGTCGAGAGATAAAGGGTCCCCCCCACCCCTTACCTCCACCACCCCGGGCCTTCACAGGTGGGCTGGCCCGAGGACCTGGCCCTTCCAGAGGCTTCCTAAAGTAGATCCCCCCGAGGCAGGACACCATCCTACCTTGGCAAGCTCCTAACTGTCTTGCCCAAAGTCATGATTGGATGACCAATGGTTGGGTCTAATGGTGGAGAATTATGATGGGTCTTTTTTTTCTGTTAAAATATCTCTTCAGTGTTGTTATAATATTGGTTTTGAGATAAGGAAAATTCTTAGGGACTTCCCTGGTGGTCCAGTGGGTAAGACTCCACGCTCCCAATGCAGGGGGCCCGGGTTCGTTCCCTGGTCAGGGAACTAGATCCTGCACGCCGCAACTAAGACCCGGCACAGCCAATATAAATAAATAATAAATAAATAGTTTTTAAAATCAATATACCAAAGTGGCATATTTTAAAAAATAAAATAAAATTCTGAGACAAATGTAGTTAAAGTTTTAAAAGGCTGGTGTTATCCTAGGCAGACCTGATGCTCTTTACATCTATCCAGTTGGCAGCTGTCTGAAGAATCCACCCTGGCGGAGAAAGCCTCAACCCTCGGGAGAACAGACAGTTCACAGCCAGCGGCCATCAAGGCCACAGCTGGGCACAGATAAGACTCTGCGCTCCAAATGCAGGGGAACTGGGTTCAATCCCTGGTCGGGGAACTAGATCCCGCACGCATGCCACAACTAAGAGCCCGTATGCTGCAACTAAAATATCCCATATGCTGCAACTTAGACCCAGCACAGCCAAAATAAGCAAAGAAATGGAAAGTGCCATAAATATAGAGCAGGGTAAAGAAGAAGAGGGAGATGGGGGTGGGGTAGAGGGTGATCAGAGAAGCCCTCTGAGCCCTGGAAAGGGTGAGTCATGAGAGGAGCTGAAGAAAGCGCATTCTGAGAGAGGGAAGAGCAAGTGCAAGGGCCCTGAGGTGAGTGTGGCTTGTGTGTGGAACAGTAAGAAAACCAGTGGGCAGAGAATGAGGAGGAGGAAAGCAGTAAGAAAGGAGGTGGGAGACAAGGCCAGGGACTAGATCCCAAGGCCCTCAGGGGTATATACTGGGTGGGGAAACCCATGGGAATTCTGAGCAGGAATGTCAGAAGGTCTGGTTTAACACCTGGGAAGATCACTCAGGTAGAGGAGACTGTGGGAGGGCAAAGAAGAAATGGGAAACCGTTAGGAGACTTCTGCTGAGAGAACATGGTGCCTGGGTTAGGGTGGTAAGGGGTGGAGCTGTAGAGAAGTGATCAGAAAGGCTTTGCTGATGGATTGGGTATGGGGTATGGGGGAAACAAAGAGGCAGGGATGGCCCAGGTTTACGACGAGCGCCTTGGTGAACGGTGGGGTATTCGCTGAGATAGTAAAAACTGGAGGAGTGGCACATTTGTGGGGATGACAGTGCATCAAATTCTTAGAAGCCGTCTTGATGTCCAGACGCCTGTGAGACACCAGGTAGGAAGTGCAAATAGGGTGGGTGCAACTCAGAAGACAGTAGCAGTAGCAGTGTTTTCACTTCCTTCGGCCTTGTAGGTTCTGGGGTTCCCTGGGGGCTCAGCAGATGTGCCTGACCCTCCTTCTCCCAGAGCCCTTTGACTCTGCCCTCAACACCCTGGCCTGGCTTCCTCAGCTTGTCCCCTTCTCACTGCTCATTCTCATCAGCACTCAGACGGATTCGAGTCTCTCTCACTTCGAACCAAAATGAAGCAGAAAATCTGTCCGGACCCCGCGTCTCTTCACGCAAAATTAATTGAAAAGTGATGGCGGGACAGTGGTAGTAGTTATACTCTTCTTTGAACATTTCCTTTTTTAAAAAAAACATCTCTCCCCACCTCTCAGTAAATCAATAACTTTCCCAAAGAGCTGCTGCCATTCCTCACTCCTGAGCACTTCTTGCCCCACTTGTGCCTGAGCCGAGGCCTTGAAGGTGCACTTGCCAAGGGTCAGGGAGGACCAGCCTCTGCTGGAAACCTCGTCTTACAGGACAGGGTGCTTGGTCCTCCTCCCACCTCCACTGCAGCCTTGCCTTCCTCCTCAGCCTGTCCCTAGATGTCAGCATCCCCAGGACCCTGTCTCAGCTGCCTTCTCTTCCCTTGCGACACTCCCTTTGGCAGTGGCTTCAACTGTCTTTCACTTACTGATGATCCCTAAATCTATGTCCCTTGCTCTACACCTTTACATCCTACTGTCTAACAGATTATCCCCAGTTGGGTATCCTATAGGCATTTAAACTCAACACGTCCATAGTTTGGGACCCGCTGAGTGGGAGGTGACCCAGCTGAAGGACAGGTGGGCGTTATATGAAACTGTCAGAAGGGTAAGAGAGGTGAGGCTGAAATGGACAGACTGCAGCTGCAGGGGCTCAGCCAGGGAGAGCCTTAGAAATCCTGTTAAGATTTTTTATCTTTACCCATGGGACTTCCCTGGCGGTCCAGCGGTTAAGACTCCCTGCTTCCATTGCAGGGGGTGCGGTTCGATCCCTGGTCAGGGAACTAAGATCCCGTGTGCTGCGTGGCCAAAAAAAGAAAAAAAAAATTTATTTTTATCCAAAAGCCAAGGAAAAAGAGGAAGGGTGTTGGGCACTTGGAGAAAGAAGCTATGATGAGATACGCTTTTGGACAAGCCCGTTGCAGCTGCACACTCCGAGGACGAGAGGCCGATGGCTTCTTCCTGTAGCTGGAAGGTGGGACCTAAGTTCCCTAGAAACACGTGTGGTCATGGAGGGGCCCTTCCAAGGAGCTTCTGCCCTCCCGGGTCTCTTCCGCAAGAAGTGGAGCCAGACCAGGCCCGGCTCCCCGCGCAGCTACTGCTGGGGGGCCGTATACAGGAGCCCCAGCAGAGACACCCCGGGAACGTGGAAGCAGAGCTCAGTCTGAGGGCTTAGCCGATCACAGACATTAAATTGTGAGGGCAGCCCTAGCTCGCGGGGAGCAAATCCCTCCCGGTCAGCACAGTTTCTCAGTTGAGAGGGGAGGATTAGGGGAAGGGAAGTTCCAGCATGCCAGCACCCTGGAGAGAGGGAGGAGATTGAAATCCCAGTGCCATTAATAAGGACCCAGAATTTTTCTTACGGGTCCAGTTATTTGATAACACAGGCTGCTGATATCCTGATCCTTGGGCTATTGGTGTAAGCTGGATGCCCTGCATCCATCCTCCACAGGAGATGCCGGCCACTGCCCCATCCCAGACTCCAGGGGCTCGGCTCTCCCACCCCAGACTCCAGGGGCCATATGCCGAGCCCCAGCCCCGCGGTGGGGCTGCCAGAGATTTCACGGAACCTCAAACCCAGCCTTGTCGGGGTGTGGAGCGAGGAGAGAAGAAAAAGCGTTCACTATGCCTTTGAGAAGCAGGGCTGGTGAGCTGCAATCAACACATCATCAGTGGGTTTCAATTGGAGAAATCAGGTTCAGAAAGATCAGGAGGCCACACAGCCAGGGAGCAGCAGAAGCAGGGCCTGAACCTGCCTGAACCTGGTTTCTCCTGACTTCCCACCCACAATTCCTTCCCCAGATCCCTAGGGAGGGTGAGGGTCACTGGGTAGCAGGAGAGCAAAGCGGCTCCTGGGTCCAGCACTGGAACCATGATGCCAAAGGAGAGAAGGATGGCCAAGGGCAGGTGGAACCAAAGGGGCAGCAAATGGGAAGGAAAGATGAAAGGGGACCTCAGGCTTCGGGACCAGGAGGGGCCACACAGTGTGATCAGGGCAGAGCCCAGACTCCCAGATCTTGGTGTCCTTTCAGATCTCAAGGGAGAAGGGCGTCTCTTTGCAGGAAAGCAGTCATGTGGTCAGGAGGCCGCCTTACGCAGCAGGGTGGGGAATAAACCTGGGAGGCTGAGAGGCAGGAAGAACAGAACGAAACAAACAGCTAAGAGCAAACAGGCTCACTTGGCAGCAATTCAGTAAAGGGACACAAAGGATCAGAAAACCGGAAGCAGTTTTGAAAAAGCAGTTGCTGGACAGAATAATTGTTTTGTGAGGGTGTGTTGGCCAGGGTGACACAGGGAAGGTTGACAGGTTAGAAGAAGTCCTCTCGGTGTGTGTGTGTGTGAACAGGACTTCTAAGAGAAGGAGCTACTCCACAGAGCTGAACTGCTCTAAGACTGTAATGAGAAAGGTTCAGGTCATTTTATTCCTATTTATTAGCATAGCTTAACTCTTGTGTCAATAATGAAAGTACCTTTTAGTCAGATGTTTTTTTCACAGGCTGAAATTTTTCACAGACAGACGTAGCTCTATGATTGTCTGAGCGTGTACACACCCTGGTGGATTACAGAAAGGCCTAGAAGCATGTTCCCTGATACATTTTCTCTATCCTTTTTCCCAGCTTCTGTTCAATAATTATTCTATATTCTTTGAATGTGTATGTTCATCTTTTCATCCACTTTAACACCTCATGGGATAGATTTCAAAAAGTTATCTTCACCCCTAAGGGTCAAATTCAATCCATCCATAAACAGTATAAAGTTTCCTCAGAAAACTAAACATAGAACTACCATACGATCCAACAATTCTACTCCCAGGTATACATCTGAAGAAAATGAAAACACTAATTTGAAAAGATACGTGCACCTCAATGTCCATAGCAGCATTGTTTACAATGGCCAAAATGTGGAAGCAACCTAAGTGTCCATCAACGGATGAATGGATAAAGAAAGTGTGGTCTATATATACAATGGAATACTACTCAGCCATAAAAAAGAAAGAAAATTTGCCATTTGCAACATGGATGGACTTGGAGGGTATTATGCTAAGTGAAATAAGTCAGACAGAGAAAGACAAATACTGTATGGTATTACTTATATGTGGAACTAAGAAACAAAACAAACTAGTGAATATTTAAAAAAACAGACTCACAGGTAGAGAGAACAAACTACTGGTTACCAGTGGGGAGAGGGAAGGGGGAGGGGCAAAATAGGGCTTAGGAGATTAAGAGGTACAAACTACAATGTATAAAATAAATAAGCTACAAGGATACATTGTACAACACAGGGAATATAGCCAATATTTTATAATAACTATAAATGGAGTATAATGTATAAAAATTTAGAATCACTATGCTGCACACCTGAAACTAATACAATACTGTAAACCAACTATACTGCAATTAAAAAAATTTTTTAATAAATTCAGTCTGTCCACAAGCTCATGCAGGTGTCTGGGAATGAGACTGTGGGTCTTCTGAGAGTAACAGAGATGCTGTAACTGCCCAGGCTGCCAAGTGTGATCCCTGAGGGTCCCTGAGGGGCTCGTGCTGAACCCCAGCACCATTATTAGAAAAGAGACAGGTTCAGACAACGACTTCCCTTCAGACCTAGTAAATCAGGATCCTAGGTTCTGGTCCTGTCAAGCTACTACCGAGCTGTATGAATTACTCATGCCGACGTTTTAGCATCTGTAAAATAAGACAGTGTTTCCCCATGTGTGCTCTGTGTGAATCCCACAAGATAGTCCAAAAAAAAAAAGTTGTTCTTTTTCTTTTTTTTTTAAAGAAAAACCGCATAATTTATCCTCCTCTTCAAGATTCACAACTCTGTTGGCATAATAAATGTTCTGTAAGTTCTGCTATAAAGATATCTGTCTAAAATGGTCTAAACCAGGATTTCCCAACCTTCTTTGACCCTGGAACCCCCTCTTCATACAACACCTATTCACATTTCACAGAATTAGAACTCAGGGGAATTGCTGGACCCTGTGACCTCTGAAGTTCCTGCCACTTCAACAGCCTAGGATTCTGGCTACATAACCAGGATGAGTCTTCGAGAGTGGTGCCTCTTTCCTAATATCCTGGACAATTTGTACCTGTTTGCTTTCTGACTGAGTAGAATTAGACTTCACAGAGTATTTACATCTCCCAGAGCAGCAGTCTCCAAAGTAGGGGCACACCTGGAGGGCTCAGGATGCTCCACTGGGATGCAAGAAGTAGAAATTGTAACTCTCATTTATAGTTAGTTTTTATCTAAAAATAAGGATGCTTTGGGGCTTCCCTGGTGGCACAGTGGTTAAGAATCCACCTGCCAATGCAGGGGACACGGGTTTGAGCCCTGGTCCGGGAAGATCCCACATGCCGCGGAGCAATGAAGCCCCTGTGCCACAACTACTGAGCCTGCGCTCTAGAGCCCACAAGCCACAACTACTGAGCCCGTGCGCCACAACTACTGAAGCCCACGCGCCTAGAGCCTGTGCTCCACAACAAGAGAAGCCACCGCAGTGAGAATCCCGCGCACCGCAACGAAGAGTAGCCCCTGCTCAACGCAACTAGAGAAAGCCCGAGCGCAGCAACGAAGACCCAATGCAGCCAAAAATAAATAAATAAAATTTAAAAATTTATATAAAAAAAAAACTGTGAGAAACAAATGTTTAAAAAATTAAAAATAAAAAAATAAAAATAAGGAAACTTTTCAGCTTTAATATACATATTTATAATAGTACAGGTATGTAATTTGTGTTTATATATGTATACACATCACGGGGTATGGTTTCAAAAAACTGTCACTGATAGCGGTACGTGATCAAAAAGGGAGACCACTGACCTAGAAAATGTGCCTCAAGGTATTAGTTAATATTCATAATCACGCAGTGCTTAGTAGAATGGAAAAACAGACATGTAACGTGGCGTGTTACACATGGCGTGGATATCTTAGCTGCTTGCTCTTTTCTTCATGCTGAACAGGCCTAGAATATCGTGCTTCGTGCGTCAGTTCAAAACAAACGTATTAAGGAACTTCGATTTGTGATGTAATTATGTTAAGTGCAAATTCTGGGCCTAACCAGTTATTTCTTGGAAGTGTTTCCATTACATCATGAAATAGCCTTCACTGTTGTCCACATGTATATTTTTAATAACCTAGCAAATTTCAAACATCTTCTCTAAGATTCAAAACAGTACAATGAAACCTGATAGCATTATAAAATTGTTCCCAATCAAATAACTTAAAGAAGACAACTCCCAGTTACATTTTTTTCTTAATAAGTCAAACTACATTCCTATATACAGTTCCCCTCAAAAAAAAAAATTCTTTTTTTTTTTTTAAAGTGAAAGCAGGTTTATTTAGAGAGATACACACTCCGTAGACAGAACGTGAGCCGTCTCAGAAGGCAAGAGTGGGCACGGGGTAGTCTCGGAAAGTGAGAGCAGCCCTGAAATATGGGGTGGGTAGTTTAAAAAAAAAAAATTCTCGAGTGTGATTCCTCAGCAGGTCATTTATGGTCCCTACAGGATGTAATCCCAAGAAACTAAGCAGCACAATCTGAGAAGTACAACGATGCTTTACCCACTAAGTCTTCAACTGCCTGACTTAAATCAAAATGCTTTGGCTGGGGCTTCCCTGGTGGCGCAGTGGTTGAGAGTCCGCCTGTCGATGCAGGGGACACGGGTTCGTGCCCCGGTCCGGGAAGATCCCACATGCCGCGGAGCGGCTGCGCGTGAGCCATGGCCGCTGAGCCTGCGCGTCCGGAGCCTCTTGGCTCCGCAACGGGAGAGGCCACAACAGTGAGAGGCCCGCGTACCTCTAAAAAATACAAAAACAAACAAAAAAACAACAAAATGCTTTGGCTGAACACAGACATCAGAATGAAAGGCTCAGCCTAGTCTAGCTTCCCTCTCTCGCTGCTGGTGACACAATAGTGTATTTGTGCCCAGGGAGAGGCTGTGTTGAGTGAGGGCGAGGTCCTATCTACCCCCGGCTGGAAAACAGATTCCAATAGGACGGGCGATCTAACCCCTAGCCCTCCCGGGAGCTGTCCCACTGTGTGTCACTGCCACCACGAGTCACCTCCCTCCCCTCCCGCCCACAGCTTTACCTTGGCTTGGACGTTTCCAGCTGCCCTGTCCATCTCCTCTTCTTGGGCTTTCTGCTCTCCACAAGAACCATCAGGCAAAACAAGAGCAAAATGAGTCTTGAAAAATAAGGCATCCTGTGAATGTCTGTGATGCTGCAAGCTGCTTTCCAGTAACCTGCAGCGGGGCAGATCCCCCCAGGCTTAACCATTGACTCGGTCTTCTGCCTCGAGCCAGGGCAGCAAGGAGGGCATGGCTGGCCAGGCTGAGTTTCCCAATTTAATATTGATACTGATGCTTGTGCCACCCTACTTCCCACCCCCTCGGGCCATGACACAAACACCAAGGCTTTGCCTTCCCTGCTACTTAGTGATTGGCTATTAGTAAGTTGGTTCTCCTGTGAAGGTCAGCTTCCGCTGAGTCCTAGAACAGCTTTGGCTAAAACTGTTATATAAAAAATAAAAAAAAATTAAATCTCTTGGACATGCCAGCTTTTTGCTGAGATCATTAATCCATCTCTCTGGCGACATAAAACCAGTCTGTCACATCCGCCAGGGAGCGAGTTGGATTCTGAGTGGATTTGCAGGGAAGACTTGTGCACATGGAGATGAGCACCTGAATGTGCCCCGGAAATGCTGAGTAAACACGCAAATGACCTGTTTCCACAGAGTTGCTTTATTTCTTGACCAAAGAGCCTGTGCTTCACCTGTGGCCAAGGGTGCTTGCTTTTCCCCCAAATACACATTTTTTTTTTCAATGAAAACACATCTTATCAAAACATAAAACATATTTTGATTTTGAAGGAAAGCATAAACCAAAGGAGAATTTGTGATTATGTAAGCTCTTCTTCCTAGCACGAGCAATAGATTAATGTTGGTCTTTCATCCTAAAATGTATAAGGTCATCACTGATTCACTTTGTTATAAAGCAGAAACTAACACACCACTGTAAAGCAATTATACTCCGATAAAGATGTAAAAAAAATGTATAATGTCATCATAAATGAGGCTTGATTCCTATTCTGAGATATGGAATTATGAACACTAGAAGTGAAAAGATACATGTGGTTATGTTTCATATACTCTGCAGAAGAAAATGTTTAAAAACTACCTATTGCTTGCTTGCTGTGTCCTGGGAATGGAGATGTTGAGTGTGGTAGAGACATAGGGAGATGAGGATGGAGGTCAGAAGGAGCAATAGCTAAAACTGAAACAGAATTAGGGTTTTCTTATGTAAAAAAGAATCAAGAGAAGCTCTTTTGATCCCTTTAAGCAAAGTAGAATGATATGATCCACTTTATTTTTTCAGGAATTCCTAAGTGGGATCAGTTGGGTCAGAGAAGACCCAACTGATTGATCTCTTTTGACTATGTTAAAAGAGGATGGGGCTTCCCCATCCACCAAAGAGGATGGTGGCGCAGTAGTTGAGAGTCCGCCTGCCGATGCCGGGGACACGGGTTCGTGCCCTGGTCCGGGAAGATCCCACATGCCGCGGAGTGGCTGGGCCCGTAAGCCATGGCCGCTGAGCCTGCGCTCCACAACGGGAGGGACCACAACAGTGAGAGGCCCGCGTACCGCAAAAAAAAAAAAAAAAAAAAAAGAGGATGAGGTCCTGCCCTAAGGGATGGGAAGAGGGAAGGAGAAGAAGAGGGAAGACAGAAGAATGTGACAGTCAAGTTATCACCAAAGGAGAATATACATGGTGATTGAATAGAGTAGGAGGTGAGAGAACACAATGAAAGCTAGGACCCTGGTTTGGAGGCAGGTCTGGTGGGTTGGTACCACCATTATCTGATGAACCTGAGAGGTGGACAAGTTTGGTGGGGTATGCGGGGGAGGATGAGATAAATTTTGACTTATGGAGTTTGAGGTATCATGGGACCTCCGGATGCCCAGTAGGCAGCTGGAGTATGAGCCTGGAATGCAGGAGAAAGGTCTGGATTGAAGAAACAGATGCAGAACCATCAGTGTAATGGTGGTAGTTTAATCACAGGAAAAGATGAGATCTTCCCCGGAACAGAAGAAGTCGGAGTCCAAGTGCAGAATCCTAGAGACTCTGTACTCTTAAAGGCTGGGTGGGCAGCCAGAACACAGGCATAGAAAAACTAGCAGAGATGTTGACTATGAAAACCAAAGGAGTTTCAGGAGGGGGATAATTAACAGTCAGTGCTGGGAAGAAGTAAGTGAACAAAAAATGTTCCTGGACCTGAGAACCAGAACATTGCTCCTAACTTCAATAAACTGTAGTTTCAGTTGTGCGATGTGGAAGAAGCCAAATTGCAATGAATTAAATAGGAATCTGGGAAATGGAGTAATTTAGTACGGGGACTGGCTCAGTGGTTCCCAAATCTGGCCACTCCTCAGAATTATCCAGGTAATTTGTTTAAAAGTCTCATTCCTGCCAAAGATTTAGTGAGGAAGACATGAGACTTATGAAAGTTCTTCTCCATAAACTTTGTTCAAAAGGTCTCTTTTGCTCTCTTCCATTTGGACCAGGCCTATCAAGGGCTGACTGACTGGAACTCTAGAATTTTGCACAGATGTTGTTGGTTTTAAAGAAATATTTGTTTTGTTGCACTCCAGATGTAACTTTAGATCCTACCAATTTTTACTTTAAGTCTTATTTATTTATTTATTTTGTGGTACGCGGGCCTCTCACTGTTGTGGCCTCTCCAGTTGCGGAGCACAGGCTCCGGACGCGCAGGCTCAGCGGCCATGGCTCACGGGCCCAGCCGCTCCGCGGCATATGGGATCCTCCCGGACCAGGGAACGAACCCATGTCCCCTGAATCGGCAGGCGGACTCTCAACCACTGCGCCACCAGGGAAGTCCAATTCACGTATTTCTTTGTACAAATGTCTATTCAAATCCTTTGCCCCTTCTTAACCAGGTCATTTATCTTTTTTATTATTGAGTTATGAGTTCTTTAGTCTCGATACAAGTCTCTTATCAGATATATGATCTGCAAATGTTTTCTCCCATTCTGTGTTTTCACTTTATTAACGATGTTCCTTGAAACACAAAAGGTTTTTCATTTTGATGAAATATAATGTATGTACTTTTTCTTTGGTTGCTTGTGCTTTTGATCTCGTATCTAAGAAACCACTGCTGAACCCATGGCCACAAAAATTGACAATGTTTTCTTCTAAGAGTTTTTGCCCTGACATTAAGGTTTCAGATCCATTTTGGGTTAATTTTGCACGTGGTATGAGGCAGTGGGTGCATACCTTTAACATTTGTTTATTTCTCAGGACAGAGGATCGGCCCCATTGGCTCAAGTTAAGAGCTGTGGAAAAGCCCCGGTAAGCATCTGCTGCCAGATTAGGCCAGAGCTATAGGTGGGACTCTGGTCACACACAGCCTGTGTCCTACATCAAGGGTTCAGGCCTATTTTAAGAGCAATGGGAGAGACGGGATCAGATCTGTACCACGCACTGGAGAAGACTCCAGCTGCAGTGTGCAGAGTGGGGCAGGAATGGAGACTTGTTAGAGATAATTGCACTAGTTGAGAGGAGATGGTGGCTAATTAGGGCAGTGGCAGTGAGCATGAAGAGAAGTGGAAAAATGCAAGAGAAAATTCAAGGAGGTACAATGAACAGGAGATAAGACCAAATGACATAAAGAACTCAAAAGCAGGTATGAATAAAGTCACTGGTTTTATTGAGCAGCTCAAACTAGTTCTGAAGGCAACTTTTAAAGAGGCATTGCAAATAGCTTTGGAGCAATTATAGCCTCCCACAATGCCTGTTAAGAGTACACTTTTTTTTTTGGCTGCACCGCACGGCTTGCAGGATCTTAGTTCCCTGACCAGGGATTGAACCCAGGCCCTGGGCAGTGAAAGCGCAGAGTCCTAACCACTGAACCTCCAGGGAATTCCCAGAGTACACATGTTAATGTACACATTTTTCTTTGTTAAAACTCAGGTTCACTAAATGCATTCACCTTTCATATACTTCTTCGCAAGTAATAAAACAATATAAGCTTTTCAGTACTTCAGCCTAGGTTTCTGAACAACTAAGTCCAATTGTGTGAGGTCTGCCTGTTTACTGATTCTGCTCTATAAAAATGCGAGGTCTCGAAGTACCAGAAAGTTTATTCACAGCCAAAAAGAACAAAACGATTTCTTACTCTCCTGAAATAGGAAATTTTATGTTTTCATAGTCAAAATAATAAACAATTTTTGAAGGTTTTTTAAAAAACGTAGTTGAGAATTTTGATGAAATTTATTTATTTCAGTAGAATAAAACTATAAGCAGCATGAAAATATAAAGTGCTACATAAAAGCCCCACAATACATAAAATTTGAAAGGTTTCATTGGTTTAAACAGTTACAGGTGAAACAGACATTATTTATTTTTTCAAGCATGCTATTTTAACTACCTTGATATGTGCTATGTCGGTCAAAGGAAAAGCCATGAGTTACCTAAACCTGAGGATTGGAGGAAGGAGTCCTAAGCCTTTACCTACCAGATCACACATCCGGTTTTGGCCTTATGCTGTCAATAAGGGGTTAAATTGGGGCTTTAAAAATAATAGTTTTCTGAAGAGGCCCTTTATCGGGATGTAAGAATGGCTCCAAAGGCCAGTTTTGTTCATTAACCCCACAATGGGGGCCAGATCAACAACTTAAGGAGTTTTAGGTAGCAATATGAGCTGAAAGGGAAGAAGCAAAAGATATGCCACTTTCAGATACGTGTATCAGGTGCTTAAAAAAAAAACACCAAAAAAAACACAGCACAAAGAAGGAGATGGCCTGGCTGTTGATGGGTCAAAGAAGAGAGGCAACTCAGATAGAGGAAGATCTGTAGAACGTGAAATCTTCTTGGCTTAATCAGTTTTAAAGTATAGACACACCACGGAAACATGCAACGAGATCACATAGATCGAGGCTGGCTCAGTGTGATGGAGAGGAAATGGAGGGAAGATTGTTCCTAGCACACGATTAACCTCAGGATAGGCTGAGAGAATGCGGATTTCCTTCTTCTCAGGTGATAACATTATCTGGTCTTCCCCTGTGAGTCAGTGACCTCTTGCTAGGAGACCACTGACCACTGAACCAATATTTCTAATATTTTACATTCCAAACCAAGACTTCAGAATGTACTTTCTCATGGCAATAAAGTTATAAAATGGTAACCTATAATTTTCCTGACATACGAGGTCTTCATAAAGTCCTTGGGCCTTTTAGACTTTACCAACTTCAGCTGTAGATATAAGAGAAACAATCTGTAAACACTTTAAAAATGCCAATTTATTAAAATTTAAGAAAACTGTGTATTATATAATAGTATACAATACGTTCTTATTTTAGATGCAGACATAACTGGCTATAAGATGAAAACAAATTGTGTCTGATAGTTCATAGAACCAAAATCCTATCAGAGCAGGAGTAAAAATTAAATTTGCCTTTAAAATCATTTTACAAATTGTTTCTATCTTGTCCATAATTTCAGTTAGTTAAAGCTACATAAGGACTTTATAAATACCATTCCCCTAAGTATTCAAGATACATTATGGACTAATGGATTTTGTCTAATGTGGCCTTGTCTAGAACCCAAACATGATTTACAACACTGAGTCGTAAAAAAAAAAAAAAAATTAACTTACAAATGCACTTTTAGAGCATAACCTATTTGAAAGCTGGGGACTGCCTGTATTTAAAAATTAAATCTTCATTAACAATACCCTCAAGAGTGCCCTCAACGCTGCTCTTGAACATGCTGAAGGTAACATTTTTCTGTGATTATATGTTCTCACCAGGCATTATTTATGATGATAAAATTATCTACTAGAGTCTGTGGAGCTAGCTAGCACTAAGTTATATACTGATTTATTGATCAATATATCAATAAATATATTGATATATATTGATATTGATTTTGCACTGAAAATTATCTCTTGGGCTTTGATTAGGTGGGCAGTTCTAATTTCTATCACTGTTACATGGGCCCTGAGCTTTTATATTAAAATGGTACATGAAATATTTCAATATTATGATATTCCTGGAATAATTAAATTTATAGTGATTATAAAGCTAGGCATATAATACAACTCAAAAGATATACAATTCAAAGTACAGCAAACATTCCAATCTTAAGATCCTCCCATTTAACTTGTGGAAGAAAATCAAGCAGTTTCCTGGCTTGGATCCTTCCTTCCTTAAATCAAAGCTCTATGGAGGGTTGTTTTCCTTCTTTCTTTTAAAATCTTGTGTGTGAACTGGAGAGAAGGGGATAACAGCATATCAAAGTGGTTACAAAGCATTATTCCCTCTTCAAGTAACATCCAATAATAATGATGTAATCTCATTTCCTCAGAAATGTTTGACCAAAATAGTTTACTTTCACCGAAGAATGTTTAGGGCACAAAGTCAGTCACAGAATGGGCAATTCCAGTATGTCTCATGTGAATACATTTTAAGCAAGCTATTTGAGGAGTTTTATTTTCCCTTTTTTTTCAACTCTTATCCCTATATCATTCTACATTAAGTAGAAACAGAGTACT